TGGGCGCCGGCGGCCCTCGAGGGTGTGGGTGGCTGCGGGAGGGTGTGTGTTGGGGTGCGAGCGTGTGAGTTGGGGTGAGTTCAGCCTGCCCGGGCCCTGCCTGTGTCTCCACAGTGACATCATGGAGGCCCCTTGGGGATGGCTGGTGGCCTGTGTGCTGGTCATATCCCTGGCCTCTTCGGCGACCCAGGACGTGTGCCGAGCACCTAACGGGAAGGACGGGATCCCAGGAAAACCCGGCAGACCTGGGAACCCGGGCCTCAAGGGGGAGCGAGGAGAGCCAGGTAAGCTTCCGGCCCGGCCTGGCCACCAGGGCGCAGGTTTGGGGGTGGCACTGAGAAGCAAGGGTCCGCCTGGGCCCCCACCAAGGCCATCTAGTTTGCAATTAGCCCTGAGGCCGACGGGGGCCTCGGCTTCTTCCTGGCCTGCGTTCTCCACTCTCTGTACCCGCTGCCACCGGGATCTTCTTCCTCCTCCGCAGGATGCTTGCTCAGAGCAGTGGCTGGGGGAGATGGGGCAGCTTCGCCCCGACCTGGGCACTGCGCAGTTACCAGAACGGTTACTGCCCGGATCTTAGGCTCAGACCCCGCCCTGCTGTGTGGCCCCTCGCCCAACCTCAGTTTCCTCATCTGTGAACTGGCACACAGCGGGTGCATTACCACAGCTGCCCTCCCTGCTTCCTGCCTGCAGCCCACCTCCGCCCTGCCTCCCGCTTCCCAGCCCCTCCAGGGCTCAGAAACTCTCCTGGTCTAATAAAGAGGTGGGGTGGAAGGAAAAGGGAGGAGGTGGTGATCAGGGTGGAGCTGAGCCCCCAGTCCTTTGCAGACCAGAGGAGCTACACAGGCACCTGCCATATTTGGCTTCGGGCATCCTCCATGAGATCCCTGAGTCTGAAGAGGTTGGGGTCAGCAACCTGGGGGCATGGTGTGCTCGGGGCGGTGTGCACGGCGTGGTGCGCAGGGCATGTCGCAGGAGGCAGGGGAGCGCAGTGCCCTGTGCTGCCCCGAATCTGATGCTTTCCCAAGGCCCTGCTCACACTCCTCGCCATTACCCACAAAGCAGGGCTCAGAGAGGTTGAGACACTCGCCCAAGGCCGGTCAGCCAGTCTGAATCAATGTCTGCCCTCCATCCATGGCACCCGAGTGTCAGTCTCTCCCCAGGGACAAGCGGGCACTGGACTCTCACTCCGACCCGGCTTTCTCCCCACAGGCGCCCCTGGCATCCGGACCGGCATCCGAGGCCCGAAGGGAGACCAGGGAGAGCCTGGGCTCCCTGGCATCCCTGGCAAGGTGGGCTATCCAGGGCCCAGCGGCCCTCTGGGAGAACGCGGCCGTCCGGGAGTGAAGGGCATCAAGGGCAACCCCGGCAACATCAAGGACCAGCCCCGGCCGGCCTTCTCGGCCATCAGGAAGAACCCCCCAACGGGCGGCAACGTGGTCATCTTCGACACGGTCATCACCAACCAGGAGGGCCCGTACCAGAACCACTCGGGCCGCTTCCTCTGCCACGTGCCCGGCTACTACTACTTCACCTTCCAGGTGGTGTCCAAGGGCGACCTGTGCCTGACCATCACGTCCTCCTCCAGGGGCCAGGTGCGGCGCACCATGGGCTTCTGCGACACCAACAGCAAGCGGCTCTTCCAGGTGGTGTCGGGGGGCACAGTGCTCCAGCTGCAGCATGGAGACCAGGTCTGGATCGAGAAAGACCCCGTGAAGGGCCACATCTACCAGGGCCCCGAGGCCGACAGGGTGTTCAGTGGCTTCCTCATCTTCCCATCCATCTGAGCCGGGCAGGCCCCCTCCCCAGCCTGGCCTGATTTCCTGCTGGGTAACCCTGGAGCGCTCCCTCCACCTCTCTGACGTCTAGGCTCCGGTCTGCAGAATGGGGGTGCTGTAGCTTTAGCAGCCTGAAGGGAGGGGGCCGACTCTGAAAGCCTCCCTGGACTTGCTGCCCTCCACACACTCCAAAAAGACCTTTCCTTGGAACTCTCCCCGGAATAAATAGCTGAGTTGTCTGCTGGGCTGGAGGTCCCGTTGCTACTCCGGGCACTGGGAGGGAGGCAAAAGGATGGTAATAATCATTGCGTGCTTGAGAGACAGCCTGTCTTTAGTATTTTCCATGATGTGTTTAGCAGCTCCTAGGAGCCTCGTCTGCCTGGGTTCAAATCCTGGTGCCGACACTTACTAGTCGTCTCATCATGTGCAAGTTACGTAACTGCCATGATTTCTGTCCCCCACCTGTAAAGTGGGACTAAGAGCGACATCCCCTGGAAGGACGGTCGGGAGGACTAATGGCTTACTGTGTAACAGCTGCATAGTACCAGCTAGGGGCTACGCAGCTCAGGCCGCACGCTGTGGCTCATCTTTACCGTCCAGCCCTGACGCTCCTCTGCAGATGATGAAGCAGGCTGGGGATGGAGCAGGTATAAAGCCCCAGGTCAGTGTCTGAAGGGAAGAGCTGGGATTTGCACCCGAGACTTAGTGATGCTCAAGCCAGTGTGTCTAACCACTACCCTTGCCAGCCTCCCAGTTGCTACAGCACGCTCCACAAATCACATAGGTGCTTTCTAACCAGGATCAGAGAGCGGAAGCAATTCACCCAAGGGTGCCCAGCAGCCCTCCTGGACACTGGGTTTCCTGAGCCCAGCCCTGGACTTCCACCTCAGCAGGCGTCCAGCCAGGGCAGGGGACTGGCAGGCTCCAGAATGCTCCGCTGGGTTTTCTGAGCCCAGCCCTAGACTTCCACCTCAGCAGGCGTCCAGCCGGGGCAGGGGACTGGCAGGCTCCAGAATGCTCCCGGTGCTTGTCCCATCTGGGAGCTGCTTGGAAGTGACAAACCTCCTAGGGTCCCGCTTGCCCCATCTGGGAGCTGCTTGGAAGTGACAAACCAGTCACATCTTCATGTACGAGGACAACGAGGAGCCGAGAGGACAGTCCTGAAATCGGCCAGTGCTTGAGCATTTCCCAAAGGAAGTCGGCTTGATCTCGGTGCTGCACACCACACACACGCACACACACGCATGTGCAACCACACACGCATGCGCCAGTCACACGCACCACACAACTCCCTTGAGATGCACATGAACCCACGTTCCTGGATTCCACCCTCACCAAAATGTGGGCACAGTGACGTCCCCTCTTGGCACACACGTGCACGCCTGCAGAGGTGCACAGCAGCTACATCTTTTTTTTTTTTTTTTTTTGGGGGTTTTTGTTTTAGGGCGTGTGCCGAGACAGAGAGACAGAAAGCGAGAAATCACCCCCCAGGGGGGATGACCATGCCGCAGTCCCTTCTCCTCCGTTCTCTTGGGATCTTGGGCACGCATGCACACGCGCCTGGAGTGAGTTTAAGCTGCCGGGTCTGGGGACTCGAACCACGGTCAACTACATGGGAGTCCAGCGACATAGCCATTACGCTAACTGCTGGTCCCAACAGCTACATCTTCAAACACACGCACAACACACGGGTGCACAGCTGCCAGATCACACGCACTCCGTCTCATTCAGAGCCATCCAAAGCGCTCGCTCTCGCTCTCGATGTCTCTCTCTCAGTGAGACAGGCGTACAGGAAGCACTGACACCCAGATGTGCTCATCCTCGTCCCTCCAACATGCTCCCTGGAAATGCCCGTGTTCTCTCCCACACCAACCCCACGCGGCCCCCACCCTCCCACAGGCAGGACGGTGCCCCACCCATTACCAGCCTCAGGTCCGAACCCCGCTCCCACCTCCAACACACTCAGGACCCCCTCCTGGTGCCGCTCTTGCCCCTGCCCTGCCAACAGCCTTTGGGGAGCTGGAAGAAATGTGGGGCCCCGGGGAGAGAGTGAGCCCTCCTCCGCAGCCCCAGGGCAGTGCTGGGTTCATTCTGGGCTCGGTTCTCCCTTTGCCCACCCAGACACATTCCCTGGGTCCGGGGACAGAACAGCTCTTTGGGGACTTAGTTTTGCTGGGCACTTCAGGGCCACTGGTGCCCTTCATCCCAGTGACAGAGAGGAGGACACCAAGGCTCAGAAAAAGAACCCCTCTCCAGGTCACACTGCCAGAAAACGCCATGGCCCAGGCCTGATCAGCTCTGCCAGACCCCAAAGTGGCAGGCTTCTTTAATCACCAAGGACTCAGAGAATGTTGGGGGCAGAGGCCCTGTGAGGGGCAGCGGAGGCCCAGCTACCAGAAGGCTGGGCATGGGGAGCCCACTGCTTCCTCACTCGAGTACCCCATCTTCCCTTCCACCAACGGCAGCTCCATCCATCCCTCTCGGCTCTCTCGGAGTGAGGACACCCGACTGAGTTGGCCGGCACGGCAGGCAGAGCCCAGCGTGGGCCGAGGCTGCCACCTCCTGGACACGGCAGGTCCAGGCGCAAACCAGGCGAGAAGCTAGGAGCCGGCACCTGTCTGGGCTGCCCTCCCGAGAGCCACGATACGTGTCCAGCCTCTGCTCTCCCCAGCCCACCACCCCCGCCCTGGGCTCCCAGGTCTGGGCTCTGCCCCACAGTGTCACCTTGGGCCGTAGGGTAGAGGAACAGATGGGGAGACTGAGGCCCGAGGGTCACTCAGGCAGACAGGGCTCTGAACTCTGGCTCATGCCCAGCACAAGGCTAGGCTGTGTGTGCGTGTGACAGCCTGGTCATGCCCTGCCACGGGAGCATATCCTGGCCCCTGGAAACCCCATTCTGCAGAGGAGCGCTCTCACTCGCTCTCTCTCTCTCGCCTTGGGACACATGTGCCAGGGGTGTTCACCCTTCCCCCACATGCATGAGCCCATGGTCAATTCCGCCCCAGCCTGCACATGGCCCCCCCATGGCTACCACACAGCCTCCTTCTTCAGAGCCCAGGGAGGTCGAACATGCACCATGAGCCACACAGATGGCAGGAGTGGGGTCGAGGTTGGAGCCCTTCCTGGGTGGGGTGAAGAGGGAGGGGGGCCCTCAGCTGTGCAGCCCAGGCATGGCTACCCACCACCAGCCAGGGCCAGCGCAAGTCCAGAGGCAGGGTGCCGAGATCCTGTTGAAGAAGGTGGTGCTGGCAGGAGAAGAGGGACAGTCAGAGGAGACCCAGGTCCGGCCCAGGACGAGGTCCGGACGTGCAGCACTCCCATCCATCCAGTACTCGGAGGGAAGACCCAGGCCCAGAGGGGCGGATGGTTGGGTGAAGGCCTTAGAGCCAGCAGTGGCAGGGCTGCAGGAGAAGCTCCATGTCCATGCACTGTGGCCATCCAGGGGCCCACCTCCATGGGGGCAGCTAGGAGGGGCCATCAGAAGTTTCTAGAGTAAGACCTGCCACTTGGCAAGTGCGTGTGAGGCCTGTTTCTGGGTGGCGGGGCAGGGTGTTACAAGACTTAGGACCCCGAGGGACCACTCAGCGTGTGGCTTCGGACAAGACTCACTCCCTGGGCCTCAGCATCCCCACCTGCAGGGGCAGGGCCTCCTCTAGGCATGCGTGAGCCAGCTGAGTCTTGGCACAGACACACCCAAAACAGGGCACCTAGGAGAGGCCGAGCCTGCCGCGGGGCGCCTCTGCCCTGGGGCTCACGTTCACGCGTACACACCCCGAGCCCCCCCCGCTTGGCCAGCTGCCAGGGCAGTGGACATTTCCTCATTTCAGACACTCCTGACCCACACGGGAGGGTGGACAGGGCCGTCACTGTGGTCGGCCTGGTTCAGCTGACCAGAAAGTGTCAAGTCAGGAAAAGTTCTGGGAAAGGGGATGTGGGAAGGGGTGGGGAGGAGGGGGCGCCCAGCCCTGCTCTGGGCCGCTCTTGTTCCGTCCACTCCAACACGGCGTCCTCCTGCGGGAGAGGGGAAGCAGGTCTGAGGACATCACTGTGACCAGGCCAGAGACCTCCCGCCCCCAGGTGAGGCCGGGACCCCTGCCTGGGGGAGGGCCAAGGACAGGTTCTTCCTGAGCACAGCACCAGGGACAGCCTGGCTTGTCCCCCCATCCGGCTGTCCTGGGTCCGAGTGTGCGGCTGGGCCAGGGGTGGGCTCCGGAGGGCTGAGAGGCCGGCCCCTGCAGGCAGGAGGGGCACGGTGGCCAGCTCGGCTCTCTCCCACCAGCTGTTCCCAGGACCGACATGAGGCCCGGCTCCCAGCACCCCCCTGGAGGGGCCCTGCTACTCCTGCTGCTCCTGCCACTTGGCTGCCTGGCCGACACCAGCTGCTACGGGATCCCAGGGATGCCCGGCCTGCCCGGGGCACCGGGGAAGG